CTTTACATTGCTGCTCTTGTCTATTTCATGTTTTGAAAAGGCTTGTGAAAAATTGATAACTTCCCCGTTAAATGTTTGATTATATCATCTGGATCTAGAATTTTCCCTCAGGGAAGTATTTTTAAAAACACATTATTTCATATATCTTATTTTAAACAGCTTTATTGAGATACATTTTAGTTATGAAAACCATCCATTTCAAGTGTACAATTTAATAATTTCTACTAACTTTACCAAGTTTTGCAGCCATTACCATAAATCAGTTTTAGAATGTTTCTGTACCTTTAATAAGATCTCTTGTGCCCTTTCCCAGTTAATTTCTACTCCCACCACTTGCCAGAGGCAACATTTTGAAAGCTTATGGTCATAAAATAAACGTGAGAGACATAAATCTTTTTCAGAGTTTTCCTTTTCTTTCTAAGTCAGTTTTGGTAAAGTGGGACGTTCAGTAAATTTGTACATTTCCTTCTGTTACTCCTTTTTGGACATGAAATCATTCACATTATTTTTTAATGTCTAAGGTCAAGACACGGACTCTCCCTTTAGACTGGCAATCTCTGTGCTCCCCCCACTCGTCTACTGTTGTTCTTCATCTGTACAGGCATGGAGTCAATTTTACAGACCAGCTTCTGGCATTTCCGATTTTCTCTCTACTCTTTTTTTTTTTCTTCGTTGGAGTGTCATTCATTTTCTTTTAAATCTTTCTCTGATTTAATGTACAGTTTAGGTGATTGAATCTAACTTCTTTTCTGATATCAAGATTTAGCTGTCAATATCTCCCTAAGATTGGTTACTCACATTCCACAAATTTAGAAAACATGCTTTTGTTTTCAGTCTAATAGAATATTTTCTTCTTTGTATTTCTTTTGTATGGCTCTTGGGTTTGGGGAGGATTGTGCTGTTTCATTTTAAATACAGGTTCATTTTCTAGGTAACATTTTTTGTTGATTTTACTTTAATTTCATTACTGTCGGAATAAATTTCATCCTTTAAAATGTGTTAAGATGTGTTTGAGAGAGTAATATGGTAGGAGGGGCTGTTGTGTTCTGATTGTTGTCCTAGGAAACTTCAAGATCATTTTCCTCACAATGTACACCTGCTGCTACATGGTTACTTTGGATTAAGGATACTGTATTTCCTGTTGTTTTTCATTTTAAGGCATTCATTGGTTTAGTTTTTTAAAGTATTTTCAACTATCTTACCACACACTTTAAAACTGTTGAACTTTTGAGGAAATTGCTAATTACATCATTTATGATATAGTCATATGTGTGGAAGTCAGAGGACAAGATGGAGGAGTAAAATTTATCCTTCTACCACGGGTCCCTGAGGTAGAATCCAGGTCCAGATGCTTGGAGACAAGCACTTTTCCCAGCTGAGTGACCTCACTTTCCCATAAAATGCTCAAGGTTTTAAAATATGTTTTGTATTAGTTCCCTATTGCTATGTTTGAGAAACAAAGATTTAGTGGCATAAGCCAACAATAATTTACCTCACTGTTCTGCACATCAAGTGCAGTGTAATCAGGTCCACAGATTCCCTTCTGAGTATCACAAGGTTGAAGATATCAGCTAGCAACCCATTATCTGAAGGCTTTCAGGGAGGAATCCCCTTCCAGCCGTCTCTAGATTGTTAGTAGATGTTCGCTCCTTGAAAAGGTAGGAGTGATGTCCCTGCCTCCATTCTGGCCACCTTCCAAAAGATGAGTGTCTGGGCCCACTCTCAGGTCCTTGCATATGAGCCTCTCTCTTCAAAGGAAAGAGTGTCATTTGAGTGAAATCTCCTCTCATGCTTGCAACCTCTGCCTTTTTCTTTTGAAACCAAAAAGTCTTTTAAGGGACTTATGTGGTATCAATAAACTCACTGGATAATCTATCTTTGAGTCAATTGATTAATGTTTTCTTTAATTGCATCTGCAAAAGACTTTCCTCCATATAATTTCAACAGTCATTGGAGGAATCTCAGTAGTCTGTTTAACTTGCTATTTTATTGCACTGGTGGGCTAATTCCATGTTGATAATTTCAACATCTGTTTTAATAACTAGGTATTTCCCCCATTTTATAAATGTCCTCATGGTATTTATTGAATACTGAACAGCATAAATCTACCACAGGAAAGTGGCTGCATTATACTGTCCACTAAAGGCCATTGAACTTGAGGATAGTGGTGTAGAAATGTTTGTAGAGGACTTGCCCAGATTCAAAAGCCCTGGATTTATCCCCAGCACTGCAAGAAACCAGGCATGGTAGATGACTGTAATGTCAGTACTTGGAAGATGAGAGACAGAACAATCAGAAGGTCAGTAAGGCCATCTTCATCTATGCAGAGATGAGCATAATACATTGAATCTTAAGACTCTTTAAAGACTTATCACATATACTTAGTGCTTACTATATTTTCATTTTATCTTCCCTAAAATGATCATTTGGTGCTTACCATTATTTTCTCAAGGTCAGTAGTCATATGGAGAGCTAACTGGAAGGCCACTGCACTCTATTATCACCAAGTTATAGATTCAGTAATTCATTCTCACAGAAATCTAATAAGCAGTATCTTCTTATACATTTAATTATCTGCTTATCTTTAAGCTCTAACTGTCTAAATTAGCACCCCTGATTATGAGAGAACAAACTCAAACTAGCTTTTCAAAAGAATGGGACAGCTAAAGGTGGTGAAGTGTGTCTGTAATTGCATCTCTTAGAAGGCAGGAGAAGGAGGATCAGGAGTTCAGTGTCGTTGCCACCAACACAGCAAGCTCAAGGCAAGTTTGAGATACAGGAAGCCCTACATCAAATGAATTTAACAACAAAACAGATGGAAATAAGTGAGTAGGAAGATGGAAAGTGAGTGGTAAATGGAGCTAGACCCGTGACTGAACTCAGCATCTCCGATGGCCTTGCTGGGGCTCTACCCTTTGTTCCACACCTTAATCTTCTTTCCTTTTTGGTTTCATTTAATTTTTGACAGTTTTTGTTCATATTGTAGAAATGGCAGCTCCCAGAAATCTTTGGTCTCTATCTTTATATATAAATAGCTAAGAGAACTGCCTCATTTGAGTTCCATTACATCAAAATCTAAGTTCCTTTCCTGTCCTAACTCATCAGCCTTACTCAGGAAAGGGACTAAAAGAGATATGTTTTCAAAGGAGTGGTTTTCAATGTTGTCAGTATAAGAGAAGTGACTTCCGATTCTCTACCAACTTAAGGAGACATTGAAAAGATTTGGGGAATGGGAGGGGATATAAGTGCTTGCAGACTGGCTTGTCTAGAAACCAACACAGGGCAGAATTTTTGCTTGGCAAGTAACAAGTCATTTTGCTATCTGTTTCACATCTATAGAAGGGATACATTTTTTGAAGGGCAACAAAATATTATAGGGAAGGGGAGGCTTAGTATTACCCAAAGAATCACGTTGGCAACTGATTTTCTCTAAATTCAACTCACACTCTCATCCAAAGGGCAGGTAAAAAATGTTCTCCTTCTATAGACAAAGGAAAAAGGAATCAGATCATTGAGATCTCCTTTGGTTCTGAAGTTAGATTCTGTTTGTGGTTTTAAAGCCTCTACACCCAGACTGGCCCATGAGATTTGAGAGATGTAACAGGTAAAATCTATGAATTAAGCACATTGGATGAGAGAGAGAGAGAGAGAGAGAGAGAGAGAGAGAGAGAGAGAGAGAGAGAGAGAGAGAGAGCCTGTGGAGCATCTTAAGGCTAGACAGAAAGCACAAAAGCTGCATGGCATACAGATAACTCAGAAGGCAACCTAAAGGCACAAAAGAAATGAACCAATATCTGTTATGCTCTGTCCAGTTTATCTCCTGGTCAATAAAAACAATGATAGTAGAAATGTAATATGTTAAATGTACATATGTTGAGGACTAAGTTGATACGTTCTAGGAACATTTGAAAAGCAGAAGGTCATGGTAATACTTATCCATAGAAAACATTCAACCTTAACACAAATGCATTAATATAATATTTATTAATATTGAGATAATTTTAATATATTTATTTTCATTTTGTCCACCTGAGTGTTTTACGTGTGTGTATATATGTCCAACATGTGTCTGGTTCTAAAGAAGTCCAGATAAAGTAACCTGAATTAATGGAATGAAGTTACAGATGGTTGTGAGTCACCATGTGGGTGCTAGGAACCTACCACAGATCTCCTTGAAAAGCAGGAAGTGCTTTTAACTGCTGATCCATTCCTCTGTGGGAACCACATGCACAAGGTGCACATAAATACATAAAGGGAACACTCAAGTACATAAAATAAAAATTAAGAAAACATTAAAAATGGAGCTGATCTAGAAAACAAAATTGAACAGCAGTAGCAACAACAAAAAATAGGATGGAACCCTTATAACTCAGTTAGATGGTTTTTATGAGGCCATGAGTAAAGATGAATGCTTAGACAGAATCAAGCCTACAGACACGCTTTATAATATATCATCTCTTTGGCCAAAACTAGATTCTCCTCCTGCTAAATATGCCCTTAGAATGGTGATTATCCAAGTTCTACTTGAACTATTTCTATGGGGAGATTTCAGTTTATCTACTCAATGCAAAAATAGAGTACCTAATATGAAAGGTTGGATTCTCCACTGTGGCTAAATATAGAAAAATGAATGTGATGATATGGGTTCTAAATGCATAGTGATTCTGCAGGCTTAGCATCACTTGTAGTTTCTCTGGTAACAGACTTCATGTTCTATGTGATTCAGGTATGCTAGTGTCTAGTTACAAAAAAGAGCTCAGTGTCTCTCACCTCCTTCAGGCAGTTTATGACAATAGGCTCAGTTATTGGTCTGAGAATGAGGTCTTAACTCTAGAAGAACCAATCTAAGCTTTCATGAAAGTTGATCAAGTGACTCAAGGTTAGGTGAGGCTGTTTCAGTCTTCCAATTTTTTTCTATACAAGAGTATTTCAAAGAACATTTATTATCCATTATATTCCAGAAATCATGCATAGTGACTAAGGGCTGAGCAATTTATGTGTCCATGTTTCTTCTCTGTTTATTTTTGTTTCTGGTTGCTTCTAGGTAAAAGCAGCAGAGTAAGGGAATCAGTTTTGATTCACTCAACACATGAGCAAATCTTAGATACAAACACCACTGAAAATATTGTCCTTGATGAAGAGATAACTAACATCCCAGTTCATATCCTTAAGGATCTTACAAACACAATCGATGTACTACAAGGGACATAATGCTGGCTGCCAGATGTTTGGAGAGAATGCAAAGAGAAAAGAGGGATATCTTAGGGTTACCATTGCTGTGATGAAACATGATGATCAGAAGCAAGTTGGAGAAAAATGGTTTGGCTTACAAACTTTGGCTTACACTTCTACATCATAGTCCATCACCGAAGGAAGTTATTAACAAAACAGTGAAGGAAGCTGGAGATGGGAGCTGATTCAGAGGACATGGAGGGCTGCTGCTGCTGACTGACTTGTTCCATATGGCTTGCTCAGCCTTCTTTCTTATAGAATCCAGGACCACCTGCCAGGGGAGACATGCCCACAATAGGCTTGGCACTTCCATACCAATCACTAAGAAAATGCCCTACAGGCTTGCTTACAGCCCAATCTTGTGGAGGAAATTTCTCAACTGAGGCTCCTTCCTCTTTAGTGACTGTAGCTTCTGTCAAGTTGATATAAAACTAGCCACCAAATGAGGTAACCTTTAACAAATGGCTTTAAGATATTCATGGGACTATCATGGGCTATGAGAGGAGAATGGGAGAGAAAGACATGGATGAATACCTGTGCAGGTGAAAGCTGGTTATTGCTTGTTATTCATCTCTCTGAGTACTGTTTGGTTACAACTTCATAAAACATAATGTGAAATTAAAAATAGAATTCCATCTCTGTCAAAGATAGCCCAAGCTACTGGTGTTTAAACTCAGCGAACCTTGTCATCGTGTCCCATAGTAGGCCTTTCATTTGCTTTTCTCCTCTTTCAATTTAGATGATTATAATTTGACAGAATCCTACCCAACCCATTTCAATCCGGGATTTGATCTAGAGCATGGCAATAGAAGAGTAACTACAGACAGTTTTTATTTCAAACAATAGAAAGAAACTACCATGTAAATGGAAAACAACAAAAACAATCCTTCAAGTATGCCTGGATCTGGAGCACTCATGTACTTTAATGGAATACCTTTCTATTTGTCTGTTACTATGTGTCTTTCTCTATGTGTGTCTCTGTCCTCTAATTTCCCTCTCCTTTACTTCTTCCCCTCACCTCATTCATGTCATGATTGTCTATATCCATTTTATTCATGTGTGTCTCTGTCTTTCTCTGTCACCTTCCCACTTGACCTTGTTGTCATCCCTGCTCTCTATCTCTTATGCTGGGATTCAAAAAAGTTCCTGTTCCACATTGTGTAGAACAGGGGCCATCCTCAAAGGTACAGACCTGCAGCAAACAGCAGGAGCCACCATGGAATGAAGTTAGGTTGGGTATGCATTTGTGTAGTAAGGCATCAAGCCTGAGGGTGACTGATATGCATATTGTATATAATTTGCATATGAATCACAGTACAGTTTTGTAGAAGATGACAGTAAAATATCTTGTACTTACAAAATCAGAAGAGCATAATAGTTTTCCAGAAAAGAAACATGAATTCTGTTGAGCAGAGGGCCTAATTTTTTTCTAATTCATAGACATGTGTCTAGTTCCAGTGACAGCCCCCACTCCCACCCCCAACCTCATCTCTCCATCCTGGCTGCCCCACCGGGATGAGTTCTGCAAGACTCTGGTTGAACTTTATTCCCTCAGTTGACCTTGACACTATGGCTAGAGGATCAGATGAACTATTAAGCCACACCTAGATTATAGGAAGAAGGCTCAGTTCAAAAAACCATAAAAACTGAAATAGAGAGGACTATGTCCTGAAAGAAAGTGAAGGACTGTCCCTATGGGAGGAAGAATAGACAGCAGAAGCCCCTGACCTAACCTAAAGTCCTCATTGCCAGTAAATGTTGGTGATGGAGTTTGGAGATCTTTGAGCTGTTTTCCTAAGCATAAAGCAACAGAGAATGTTGGCCTAAAAAGAGCACTGTAGCCAAAGGGACGTGGCCTATTTTAACAAAGTATTTGATTTAAAAGATAAGTTGGAGGGTATCCAACTCAATCTCACCATTTTCCCAGTGGGAAAACTAAAACTCAGGCAGAGCATTGAAATGCCAAGGACACACAGGTAGTTGTTGGTGGAGGCAATATAACAGCATTGTATGTTACATCTAATAGTTTTCTCACCAACAAAGCATGGCCTTGTTTTTGGCTTTCTTTCCACCCTCAAATATATATAGTATAGCTTTTATACACTCCAACAGAAAGCATCACCAACAGTTGTGTTAAGGTCCCAGAGAAATTTTAAATTTTAAATTTCCCTGTAACAAAGCTAATGCCACTTGTTGCTTTAATGGGCTAAGTTTCAGTGGGGGTACCTTCCAGGAGGCACTTAAGTGGAACCTGCCTTAACATCCTGGCTTTGTTCCTAGAACTCCCAACAAGGAAAGTGAAAAACAGCATCCCTCATCTTCAAGGAGACTTCTGCAGCTCCCCTTTCTTCCTCCTACCCTCACCTCTTTCCTGCTGTTTCCTAACCAAAAAAAAAAAAAAAAAAAAAAAACCTGTCACCAGCCCAGAAGTATCTCTGGAAATAGGTAGGAGGGAGCCTTACACCTGTCACCTCAGAGCTAGTGGGGAAAGTGCTGGAGTTCTTAGTTGTTTCTTCTCTTGTAGAAAGAAAAGAAAAGACACCACACCGACAGGATCCCAGGTTTCTGCTGCAGACCTGCTGAGGAAGGTGGACAGTTCGGCCAGCATAAGCCTTTAAGAAGATCCAGAGTGCAGTATCATCCCTCAGGCTTCCCCTTGGCTTCAGCTTTCCTCTAAGCTAGAGGGTGCCTTCTCCCGGAGAAGCTGATAGTTAAGTCATGAATCAAGCTACTGACTGTCCTGTATTTTTCTGAGCATAAGCTAGCTGTGTCTTATCTATGACAAGAGTGCCAGTCATAGATACTGGGGTCTCCCCTCCTCCCGCCCTCTTTCAACTGGCTGCTCCACTTCAGGACTGCCTCTCTTTCTGTTAGAGCTGAGAGTCAAAGGCTCAGACTTTGGGGCTCCGAATCAGAATCAGTCAGCCCCCATATGCTCATCTCATCCCAAGTGTAGGTCTGCGGTTCCTAGAACATGGGCGTGGGTGTTGGTGGACCAGAGGCTCCCTCCCATTCCAGAGTTGGAGACAAGAGCTTCGCTTGGTATCCTGCTATCCTGAAATCCATGGCTTTCCTGGGGACCACGAAACTCCCCTGGAGAGGCAACCTCCTTGCTCCGGGGCCACCCACCCATTCCTCCACCACCCCCCCCCCCTTACCTCAGCACGCAGCCCCTCCCTGCGTGATGATGCAAACCGGTGGGGAGGGCGGGCGCTGGGAAGGGTGGGGAGAGATGGATAGCAAGCAAGGGAGGGAGAGAGGGAGTGGGAGGAGGAGGAGGAGGAGGAGGAGAGGGAGCCCAACGACCATTTAAAGCGATAGCAATCCCTGCCCTCTCCCCAGTGCTCGGCTGTTGGAGAGCGCGAGCCGCTAGCCGGGGAGCGCAAGCTCGGCGCGCGGGCCAGCAGAGCCACAGCGCCAGGTGCCCAAGGCTGGCTGGCGCCCTGGGACCCCCCACCCTCTCCCGCTGCACCTCCTCTGGCTCCTCCACCCTCTGTGCCTACAGAAGTCCCAGGGCTTCCCCCAAAGGAGCTCACCTCGAGAAGCCCGGACTTAGGAGAGCCCACCAGCCTTCCCTCCAGCGCCGCCGCCGCCACCGCAGCAGCATCCGGAGGAGCGGCATGGTCCAGCTGGGGAAGCTGCTCCGCGTCCTGACTTTGATGAAGTTCCCCTGCTGCGTGCTGGAGGTGCTCCTGTGCGTGCTGGCGGCGGCGGCGCGCGGCCAGGAGATGTACGCCCCGCACTCGATCCGGATCGAGGGGGACGTCACCCTTGGGGGGCTGTTCCCAGTGCACGCCAAGGGTCCCAGCGGAGTGCCCTGCGGCGACATCAAGAGGGAGAACGGGATCCACAGGCTGGAAGCTATGCTTTATGCCCTAGACCAAATCAACAGCGATCCCAACCTGCTGCCCAACGTAACGTTAGGCGCGCGGATCCTGGACACTTGTTCCAGGGACACTTATGCGCTCGAACAGTCGCTCACTTTTGTCCAGGCGCTCATCCAAAAGGACACCTCCGACGTGCGCTGCACCAACGGCGAGCCCCCGGTTTTCGTCAAGCCAGAGAAAGTAGTTGGAGTGATTGGGGCTTCGGGGAGCTCCGTCTCCATCATGGTAGCCAACATCTTGAGGCTTTTCCAGGTAGGGGGGGCGCTCCCTTTGGGGAGGAGCATTCTGTGGCTCCCTGCGCTCTAACCTTAAAGGCTGGTTTGGACTTCGTGGGTTGCAGGGGTCAGGCCAGCACTCCGGCATTTCTTCCCTGGAGATCCTGCCGAATCCCTCCCACCCCACCCAAGGAGGTATCTTCCTTGCTTAGTTTACTCCTCTTTCATGTCTTCCCCTGTCCATGCTCCACTCCATCCGACCTGACTCCCCGGATTTATGGTCCCATTTACAAGAAGCAATCTTCGGAAAAACAAGGCGATGATTTAAATGGGTTTGCATTAGAGTGAAATATGGTCGGAAACAGGCTTGTAAAAGTGCCTGGGCTCCTAGGGGAGCAGGTTAGGGACATGGAATATGAAAAATGAGAAGATGCTCTGAAAAATGGCATTTCTCAACTCCCCTGCTTCCCATGCCCAAGCCACCTAGGAAACCTCGACTCCGTGGAAATATTCGCGAAGACCTCAAGAAGCCCCTTCTTCAACTGAGGGCTGGGCTTTAACCCGCATGTGGATGCTAATTGCCCATCTCTTTGGGGTTGAATTTCCGACCTGTAGCCGGTCTCCATCAGAGGCATGGGGTACCCGCCCCACTAGGGAGACCCCGCCTGCTGACGTGATCCCCGCAGAGTTGGTTTCCTCCTGGCAATTTTTGTGCACCGCCTAAATTGCGTTTGCAGTCCGGCCAGTGGCGAGAGCAGGGCGATCAGCTAGCTTTCTGTTGCCACTTCAACCTCAGCTGGGGATGAGCTCATGCTAACTGCAAAATAAAATCGCTTTCACTGACTGTTCCCTCTACTCCCAGTCCCTCTCCCTCACTAATGCAGCCCCACACCCGAATCCCAGGCTCTGAGCTTGGAGATAGAGTCTGCTCTGCCCAGGAACAGTGGGGTGTGCTGGGGCGGGGGGCATGCAGGTCCCATGTCCTGGGTTCCGAAACAGGAGGAAGGCATGAGCAGTGGGTCCAACTGCAGTGCTCTGCCTCTAGTCCCTGCAGCCTCTGAACTTGTGCCTCCTTGGCTGCTCTGAGGAAAAATGGATGGCTTTGAGGGTTTTGAGTTTGCGGAACTCTCTGGCCGGGTCTCCGTGTATGTTTGGTTTTTGTTTTTGTTTTTGTTTTTCTGTTTCTTTATTTGGTTATCCTTTTTAGACCCCTCCTCATGGCCCCTTCTCAGCTTCTATTTCCTTCCCTCATTCCCAAGTTCTTGCCTCTAGTCAGGTCTGGTACGACTTTGCTAACCCAAGGCTTGCTCCCAGGTTTGGTAGTAGCCAAATCCAACCTCTTCTGTTAGCTGTGCAAGATGATCCCTTCAGGACTGTGCTGCCCAAGTCTAAAAAGTGACTCTTGCTCGCATGCTTCCCCTAAGAGTGTGAATTTTAAGAGGGGCCTGCTGATGATGGTCAGGCCAGCACAGAACCTCCCTGATCTCCAGGAGTGGGAACTTTGTAGTCAAGCAGCGGAGGTGCTCACCTGAAGCTAGTGAGGCCCCTCTGATCTCTGGAGCATCCTGATACCTCCTGAGTGTGCCAGCATGGAGACTTCTTGCTGCATGCACTCCCCTAAAGTGATTTGAAGGCAAACTTAACTCTAGGTTGCTTGCATTCTGGAACAGCCCCTGGCTTTTGTCATGAAAACTCAAAAGAGTTTCCTTCATCTCTGAGCTTGAAGCTGGACAATTTGGGGGTGGGGACGCTGCAGCTACAGAAAGGATGAAAAGATGAGCTGAGACAATACCTGAGGATGTTTAGTGTGTGTGTGTGTGTGTGTGTGTGTGTGTGTGTGTGTGTGTGTGTGCCCTCCCAAGCCTTGAGGGGTGGGCTGCTCATTCTGGATTTAGCATTTTAGTATTATTTCTCTGCCTGCTTTTCTCCTCAATGGGAACATGGACATCATCCCAGCTGGGCCTGTGTGTCTGAAAAACAGTGAAATACTTAAGTTAAGAAAGTCATTGCAGATGAAGCTAGGGACAGTGTGCAAAGGACTCCAGGGGGAGCTGATTTCTCTTCAGTTGCATTTAAAACTGAGGCAACTTCCAAAGAAACAAATGGCTGGTGTTCTACCCCCATCCCTGTTCTCTGAGCTGGGGAGGGATGGAACCTAATGCCAGTGTGAACAGTGTGGGTTGGGACTAAAACCATTCAGGGAAAACACTGTCATTTTCCTTTAATTTGCAAATTGCAGCTATTCATGTTGGGTTGTAGAGCTGAGGCAAAAGAGGCCCTGATTCTCACCTGCAGTTACAGAGAAGAGGCTGGCAGTGAGAGGGATGCTCCAACTTGTGGCGTGTGCTGCAAACTGGGCATAGCAGTTACTATGCATCCTTCTTTAGCCATTCCTCATGTTGAAATAAGTGTGTATGTGTATGCATGCACAAACACAGATATGAGCATATATCTCAATGTACTTCTCTTTCTCTGTATTTCAAGTAGGTATTTTTTAGTGGCTTTTTTTTAAAATGTGGTTTTAGAATCCCCTAGACTGCAAGTTCCACTAGTTTTCCAGCTTCTGTCAACCTGCAACATGATTAACGAGAATAAAGGTAGAATAACAGTAGGCTCCTTCAAAGAGAGGAAGAGGAAAAAGCGAGGAGGTGAATCTCCTCTGGAACCATCGGGTTCTGTTCAATTAAAATTGTGCTATATAAAATCAACTCCTCCAAATGACTGAATTCTGAGCTTTACAGTGATTTGAGCTTTCTTCTTTGCTCTGGTCCTTGTGGGTGGCTGTGGGGACCATGCCAAACTGATCACTTGAGATATGAATTTATAGTGAGATGAGCCTGTAGCCTGGGGGAGGAGGTACTTGCAGACTAAATGAGGGGATGCTGAGTGCTGGGGGCCAGGAGGAAGTAATGAGATACTCAGAGATACAACAAATGCTGTTACTGCCAGCACAGCCAGGGCAGAACTGTAAAATGCAGACCTGAACAGGGATGACTACTCAGATGTAAATACTGCCTTTCCATCCCTCGGAATTCTCTTCTTACTGGTGTGCAAGGCCAGTGATAGGACTGGAAAGTCAGGTCAGTCTTCTCTCTCTCTCTCTCTCTCTCTCTCTCTCTCTCTCTCTCTCTCTCTCTCTCTCTCTCTCTCTCCTGTATCTTTCCTGAATAGGTTAGTAAATGACATGTCTGAGAACAAGAATCAGATCTAGTAGGTCTTTCAAATCCAGGAATTTGAGGCTAATGCAATTAGCTTGTGGCCAGGGCTCTGCCAAGTAGAATTAAATCACAGCAACTGCCCCGCGATGCATTTTCAGCCTCAAAGAAGCATTGGGGAGGAATTTCTGGAGATTTGTTTCTGAGCCTGGGCAGAATAATACTCTCTTAATGCTCAGAAAGATTAAACATAAATTATTACTGACGAGGAGTAACATATTTTTAAAAACTAATCACAGGATAGGGATGGCTTAAAGGGGGGAGGTTACATAATGTGGTGGCTGAAAGATGAATTTCCCCTGAACAGTTTTTCATAGCCATAAGTGAGAAACATTACAGTGTTGAGGAAGAAGAAGATTGTGATCAGGGATCCTCTTTTCCTGACTTTCACATCCTGATCCTAATGGAATACTATTTTATGTGCAGTGGCATGATCTAGGCTGTGGGCTCAGAATTGCATGGCATCTGTTCTCTCTGTGAGTATATGTGTGTGTGTGTGTGTGTGTGTGTGTGTGTGTGTGTGTGTGTGTGTGTGTAGTTTTTTGTTGTTGTTGAAATAACTAGCTTGAGAAATTGTACCATTATTGAATGTAATAGTACAAATCTAAGCCTATGAACTTTGTATCATAAATGAAATTCATCTGCAAGTGTGTCAATGGTTTCCTTCCATTCACTGGAACTTGCATGTAACATTAAGCCTTTAGGACACTATTTTATACTTAGATGCCTATCTTCTCTCTCTCTCTCTCTCTCTCTCTCTCTCTCTCTCTCTCTCTCTCTCATGAATTCATAGGGTGATGTTGGATTACTCAAGGTGGGGGAAGGGGCTTCTTTTTTAAGGCAGCTCTAACCTGCTCTTTAAAATCGCATAAATATAGGTATCACTGCCATTTGGAAACAATTTGGAATCGTCCCTGAAACAACCTCTGCCTCCACATTTACTGTTTTGTAGGAAATTTACCTAACAGATGGTGAGTGGGAAATTTTTAAAGGGGCATTTTTAAAAGAGCAGAGAGGGAAGAAATCAAGACATCCACATGCTATATTTGAAGCTACCTTCATGTATATTTTATGCATATACAATCCATTTAATTAGGATGTCTCTGGGCCTTTTTTTCTCTTAAAATAATTGAAACAAAGGTGGCATTTAGGTAAATTTCACAGACATTTGGAGTATAAGAAATCAAAAGTGCTCTGCTTTCAACATATGTACATGATATATATGATCTAAAAAGACACTAGGTGAATTACACCATGTATTCTAGTGCTATGAATGCCACTCCTGCTACCCTAAATATGTCACTTAATTTGTATAGGCCTCATTTTCTTCATCTGGATTTTATGTTTAAAATTTAGTTTCTAGGGGCTGGGAAGATGGCTCAGTGGGCAAAGTGATGACTGCAAGCATGGTGTCCTGAGTCTGGATCCACCAAGCACAAGTCAGGCATAATGAACTCCAGGTTCAGTGAGAGACCCTGTCTTAAAAAATTAGGTGGAGAAATGTTTGAAGAAGACACTAAACGTCTACCTCTGATCTCTACACACATGTGCTGTGTGCACACATATACATGCATGAACATGTTCACGTGCACACACAACAAACACATATAGAGTACAGTCTAGTCTCTGGAAATGTCTAATCTTCTTGTTTAGCTTGCATCACACTGGCTTTTAGAAAAACCCATGACTTCATTTTTCGCTCTTCCACTTTGAACTTTCAGTGCCTTGGGAAACCTTTTAACTGATATTTTCATAGCTTCATCATTATTAGTTTAGCTCATTGACCATATTCAGAGCTTTCCTTACTTCCCCCCTTTTCTTTTTGCTTTTTCTTTAAATCAGTTTGCTATACAGTGGGATATATTAAAGCTCTTGTTAGAAAAAAAGAGCTTTTAGGTCCATTTACCAAAAATCATAAGGCATTAGAAACGCTTTGGATTATACTAGCAGTTAAATCTTTGTCCAGTGACCTGTCCTATCTTGTCTTATAATAACTTTAAGCCTCTTTGTTTAGAAAAGTGTAAATAATGACACCCTTCTTATGTCCCAGTATTAAGTCACATGGCTCAGGTTAAGTAAAGTAAATGACTAGTTTAGTTGTGGGCACCTGGGTCTACATATATCAGAATCCTCCCCAAGAGATTTCTGTCAGAAGTAATGACTATATTGTCTTTGCTCCCTGGAAGTTCAGGACTAGGGAATTGTGAGGTGGAGTGCCCAGGGGATGAGGCATCAACACTGGGAGACTTGATAGCCAATCAGACAGAAAAAAATGCAAGGCTGAAGAGAAGACAGACAGCCTGAGCTTTCCTGACCTGGAGCCCCTAAGTCAATTGAATCTGAATCTACATGAATTCCAGAATTTCTAGAAAATGCCTTTAAAACAGTGGGCTGGCAAACAGCTCATCTAGTAAAATCCTTGTCTTGCAAGCTTGGTGACATGAGTTTGAATGCGTGTAGAAGTGGAAGGACAGAACAGCCTCCATAAAGCCGTTCTCTGACCTCCACAAAGGCACTGTGGTCCATAGACCCACATGCTTCATGTACACACACACACACACACACACACACACACACACACACACACACACACACACACACTTTAAAAAATAATTAGAAGAAGCACAATTATTGCCCTTAAGTTGAGTTTGATTTTTACTACCTGTAGTGGAAGACAGCTTATTTCCTGTAGTGACTGGCATTCTTCAAGCTAAAATTAGTTTGTGATGTTTTCTTTCTGCCCGTTTTTGAGTTGTTCAAAAGCACCGTATTCTTCCTCACTCTTCATAATGTGAGTAGTGGTTGCATTTGCTTTTAACATTTGCAGTTGCTTCTTTCCTGTCTACATGGAGTTGAGAAAGAAAGCAGATACTTTGGATGCAAACTGTAGCCCGTAGGCCTCCTCTCTAGGAGCTGTGGAGCCACACTCAGTTCCTTTCATTAAAGCAAATCTTTTGTTGATATCCCTAGGGCACAGAAGCATTTTCATTCTATAATGGAGTACAAAGTATATTAAACTCCCAGGTCCCTGTACAGTAAGCAACAAGCCTGACTCCACTCCCCGTCCCCTTTGACTTTAAATAGGTAATTAAGAATAGTTGCAAACTCATGTTCCCAGCAACTAAAATGCATACATGATCAGTATTTAGAGGACAACAATTGTACAATGTAAAGTCAGGCTAATTAATTAATAAACATTTTCAAACTGGCATAACAACATAGATGTTGCTCTGTTTAAAAAAACAGAAATAAATCCTTCTACAAGAAAATACTTATCTGAGAGAAGTATCATTACATGATTCTTAATAGTATGAGATCCCCATGGACTAACAGTTAACTTCTTTACCACTATATTTACTATTAAATGTTTCCTGAGCCATTACTGTACCATAGCATCAAAAATAATGTATGTGACTTTACGATGATATGGGCTATGTATCATTTTGTGAGGAATTCTAATTTACTTTCAGTATTAGTAGTGATGGTAGTAATTGTTAGAGTTCTCAGTGTGAGTCACTGTGCCATGTACTTCTAAGAATGTCATCTCATTTGGTTGCCACAATAATACTGCATGCCCATATTGTTGTACTACTATGCATTTAAAAAGGGGATTCTTGCAGTCCAAAGTCACCTACCTGGTTGACAGGCAAAGTGGACAGACTTAAAATTTTTCTGTTAACACCTAAGAAATGAATCACTTTTCATAGTGTTCAATTGTTATACAAATGCAGAAACGCTTAAAAATGATTACATACTTCCCTACCTTGAAATCATAATGGCTTAAAGATATCAACCTTGTCAATTGTTTATCTATATCTGTTTATAGAAATACTGAATTCCAATTGTAGAGCCAGATTGTGTAAACCCCTAGAAATTTACACATACTCTTGTCACCCAGTGAAAGACATCTGTCCTCCAGTATTCAACCAGTGGCTAGGCATGTGGACACAAATATACAGTAAATGTCTCTTATTAAATAAATGAGAAAAGATGTTTCCTCCTGTTCCAATTCAGTGCCTGTCATTATGGATTGTGACAGTGTGTCCTAAACTTTATTTTATTCACTCCACTCTCTCAAGATCTCAAGTGAGGAAATCCATCATTTAGATCTATGCGCCAAGTGAGGGGACTGTATTAATACAATTGCAGAAAGTCAAGTTGATGGAGCGCAGGAAGTACATCCTAATAAATGCAAAACTAATGTTTGTGTGGGCCGTGGAGGGAAGGGTAGGAATTTCCAGTTTAATGGATTATTTTGCCTCTTGCTCAGAAAGTGCTGCGGCTTAATAGTTTTATAATTGGTCATCTGCAGAATTCTCCATCTCTGGGTGTTACGCTTTCTTCCTGGTGCAGCTGTTGCTGCTTGTTCTGAGTGCTGATGGACGGTGTCAGCTAAGCCACATAGAAAGGCTCAGCCTGTTAGCAATACTGCTCAGAGGAGGCTATTTCTGTTTGTTAAAACAGAGATCAAGCATTTTTATTGTGTTTTAAGCTGGACTTCTATGAAGGCAACAGATCAGGCAGACATCACAGGAAGGGCTCTCATTAGAAAGCCCTTCCTGTCACTGACTGTTCACAGTCAAGTTCAAGAATTAGATCTAAGTTTAAATGCATACGTGCCACCTTTTTTTCTACTGACTTGCTCAAACAGGAATCACTCTTATCATCAATGACTGTATCTTTCAAATGAGCATAAGAAAAAACATTCCTGGGCCCACAAGATGGCTTAGCAGGTCTAGGAACTTGCCTCTAAGCCTGATGACCTGAAGAGATCCCTGGAACCCACAGGGTAAAAGGGGAGAACCAATTCCAACAAGTTTTTCTCTGACCTCTGCATAAATACCATGGCATGCATACACCCACAC